ACACTTGAGTGTTTAACCTGGACACCTTGTCATCTATAGAGCCTCCATGGGTCGTAATAAATGTGGTAATAATCGATGGACGATGAATACCATTGTACCATTGATTGTTCTATCCAGTGGCGCCGAACCTATATAGTAAGGGTGGCGACCGCCACCCCTTTTAAATGGGTGGGTGGTGGGTCCTGTTATGCAGATGGGCAAATATCTAACAGAAGAAATTTGACGGCTAGATACTGAGTGTTCGATAGTAAATTAGTACTTGGAATCAAAAGTGTAACGACCGTAACGTCTATACACCGTGTATTCCTGTGTATTAATGAAGTAGGTAGTATATAGACGTATTCACTATAGACGTAGGTATAGTGAACAGTTTAAATTGTGTTATCTATTATTTTTACATTATCAGTTAGTGGTTTTTAGTACTGTGAAGTGGCTATTTTAGCCAACTTTTTTCCTGTAAAAACCAATAATGATATAATAATTATATTGATATAAAATTATAAAAAGGTGCTCTGCTGTACAGTAGGTTACAAGTAAGTCACTGTATAATGGATAGTATTAAATTTTAATTCAATGATATAATATCATTGTATAAGAAAAACGATTCTGAGCGGAGACGGTATTATGTCAGTCTAGGTATAAGGCATATTATATCGATGGCGTAGCGCACAAGTGTGATAAGTGACATTTTCGTAATTGTTCAGGAGAACGATTTTTAAGTTTGAGATGTCATAACAAATTCAAAAATGTAACGAACTGTACGACGTCTATCGGAGTAAATAATGAACTATTCACTTACAACGTTTGGGCATAATGTGCAGAATTGTATGATTAAATTGATTATGCACTTAACTCATTTTTCAAAAAATGTCACTTATCACACTTGTGCGCTACGCCATCGATATACTTATCTATCGTATCAAATAAAATTTACCTAAAATAGGTACCTATAATAAATTCCAAATCAATCACATCATAATATCCATTAGGTACTTATAATGCGTTATACGTCAACAACAAACCCTGATACTATCATAGTCCATACTCCATAGATATATAATAGTGTACTTTAAAAGTTTCAAGTACCCACGAATCTTATTACACAATCACAACAAAATAACTAAAATAGTTATTCTAGGTTTTTTTTTATGTAATTTTGTCCAAAGTTGAACTTAAACTGACTATAAAAATTAACTGTGCATATGTATTTTTTAGATTTTTTGGTAACAGAATTTACTACTTACGTGGAATCTTGTTTTAAATTTTTAATCCTTAGATATAAAAGTTGAACATTTTATACATTTTTAACTACAAAATAATTATTAAATTTTAAATTTGATAAATTTTGTCAACATTTGAACTTATAATGATTATAAAAATAAATTGTGCCTATGTATTTTTAATATTTTTCAACTGATATTGTAACAATATATCAGGAGCCTTGTATTCAATTTTTACACTTTTTAGCCCAACAGATAAAACTTTATTGATATTTATAGAATAAAAAACTAAAAAAATGGGAAACTGAAAATGTCCGTAAACAGCTCAAAAAAATTCAAAATATTTTCAAAATTGTATGGTGTATAGGAAATGCTAATATAAATATTCAGTGAAATTTTCATGAATCTACAGTCATTCGTTTTTGAATTACAACAAAATAAGGAAATCGCTACATGAGAAATCGAGTGAATATCCAATGTTGTAAAAATTTGAATTTCAAACTCTCATAAAAATTTAATTTGACTTTCTTATAGACATTTTTTTTTTTTGATAAAGGTAGATAATCTTACAAGGAATCTTTTATTACATTTTCACATCTTAGATTTAAAAAGAAAAATTTTTACGAATTCTTAACTCAAAATAATTTGCTAATTTTCGTGATTTTTCCATATTTTGTCAATTTTTGAACTTTAAATGCTTATAAAAAAAATTACAAATAAGGATTTTTAATATTTTTCATCTGCCTTTTAAACAATATACTAGGAGCATTCTATTAAATTTTCAAGCTTTCGCAACCAACAAATAAAATTTAATTGATATTTTTAGAAAAAAAACTTTAAAATAATGGAAAATAAAAATGTCCCTAAACAGTTCAAAATAAATCAAAATATTTTGAAAATGTTATCGTGTATATAAAATGCAAATATAAACAACCAGTGAAAATTTCATGTATATACGTTCATTTCTTTTAGAGTTACACCAAAAACCAAAAATTTTTGGAAAACCGATTTTGCGTAAAAATTCCCGTTTTTCCTTAATTTTTATGTTGTTTTTCCCGACGCTTGTGAAAACTACCGAGACATTTTTATTTTTGATTCCCCAAAATACAACAAGAGTCACTTTCCTATCAGAAAAGCTACTGTTGAAGAAAATCCAAGCACTTTTACTGTCCTAAAACGTGATGAGAGACACAAAAAAAAATTTTAAATTAAAAAAAAACACACATCATTGTAAAATCAATACATTCATCGTTTCACTCAGAATCTAAAAAAATATTTTAAATTAAAATTAAATACATGTGGTAACAAAACTAGTCCAGCCAAAATTACATTAGTTACATTAGATACATGTTGTTTTAACACTTTTTAGAAAAAGTAATTGAGAACAAATACAAACATTTTCATGGGTATTTATATTTTTTTTTTAAATTTATTTTTTGCTTAATGTTCACTACCGTAGTACCGTAGACTAGTATTTATGAATAACTGACAAAAACTAAATTATTTTACATGACTATAATGTCTGAAGTTAACGTTGAGGTATGGCCTAAGAATGCCCGCTTAATTTAACGGTTCTGGGTGGGTGGGTGTTTGGTAAATTTTTACTAGTTTGCCACCCCATTTTAAATTGGGTTCGGCGCCACTGGTTCTATCATACATCATAGTCATCATACATACGACGACTATGGCAGACGTTTATAGCAATTAGCAATGTTCTAAATCAGCAAAAAAAAACCTGAAACTGATTATCGACGTTTTTGTCATATTTAACAATTTATTTTATATCTATAAAAAATTACCAACAAATTGATCGACTCTGTGTGGTAAATAAGATTTTTTTGTAAAAGGAAGACATTTCAGGGGGGAGGGGTCAGAACCTTAGAACCCTGCCCCTTCGTACGCCGTTGTTTGTAGGTGACCATAACGACTTTATAGAAAAGCATTCGGCTTCATGACATCGAATGTAGGTATATATAAGATGAGGGCTGAGATTTAAAATAAATAGTTGCTAGACGGATCAATCAACCGATGACCGTACCTATACCTAACTGAAAAATTACAATAAAAATAAGCGTAATACAAAATATATTACCTACAATAATTACACGTAGGGTAGGTATCTAACTTAAATTTTCATAAAAGGTTAAAATGTAAATACTCATAGAAAATGAAGGTAGTGATTGCTTACTATTAAAATAATTCACCCTATTTATAAATATTTTCACTACAAATCACCGACATAATATGTTATTAGTTTATATAAACTGAAAATACAAGAAAACAAATGTTTGTAGGCAATACAAACAATATTATTAATTATCATCATGATATTATGCAAACCGATATGACTGGATTAAGACTCATATTGAAAAACTTCCACTTCAAATTTCAAATCTTAACGAGGGAACCATATCTAAAGCTATTACAAATGAGTGCCTAATGATTAATTATGTGTAGGTACTAGACCTGCAGGCTGCAAGGGCCGTAAATTTTCTGCCCGGTCCGGTCCATCAATTTTATCCTCAAGCCCGGCCCGGTCCAAAAAATATTTTGAAAAAAATCCCTGGCCCGGTCCGAAAATAATGCTAAGCTCGTAAAAAGCCCGGTCCAGTCCATACATTTTATCCTCGAGCCTGGTCCAAAAAATAATGTAAAAAAAAAGCCCTGGCCCGGTCCGAAAATAATAATAAGCTAAAGGCTTTAGGGGCTAAGCCCCCCACAACATTTCCTACATTTTGTTTTAAGCTTATTCAATATATTATCAAAGTAAGGCTTTAGCCCCACCTCCCAAATCCCAAGCACTATTTAGTTATTATTATACCTACTTATAGTATAATGTAAAAGTATGTATAGTATAAAAGAACCAAAAAAACATAAGTATACCCAATACATTTAGCAAAAATTAGACAGGACTTAATGAAATAATACATAATATGATAATAGATGTTCTCGTTAATCGTTACCATATTTGCACCAGAGCTCTCAATGAAACGTATACGATGATACATATATTAAATAATATTTACCTTGGTAACAATACAATAATTAATATAGTGAACGAAGAGATAATTAGTGTATAATATTATATTCCTGATCAATGTTAAGTATAAAATATATTAATGAAGATCGTGAATCATAATACTTCAAAAAATGCTGGTATAAATTGGTATAATTTCTGAAATAAAACATCATAGTTCACTCTTTAAAATCAATGATGAAGCAATAATAATTGATACCTAGTTATTATTTTTACTGAAATAAAACTATGTTAGTATCTTCTCTGATAAAAATGTTTAAATATCAATTAGACCGATAGTTATTTCATTTGGCAGGTCTTTCTGTTACGCCTTGTATATTATTATTTTTAATGCATTTCAGTAATAATATTGTGATCATAAAGCGTTCTGTATAGGCAATTTAGGTACAACACTTTCCGGTTTATTCAAGACATAATAATTTACCTAATATTATTATATGCATTTTAATTAGTGATTACATAACACCAGAATTTACTCTCCAAGGACTATGTTTCTACCTCTACGTCCAATTTCAAATTAGTGAGTGGGGTGTTTTAGACTTATAGGCCAACCAATCGGCATCTAGACATACATATACCCAAAGAATGATGCTTAGTAAATATCTAATAACAATGTTAATAAATAAAAATGTTAAGAAAACAATGTATTATTCTGAATAAATATACAATTAGTAAAATATATAATATAATGTAGTATGAATGTGTGTATGAATGTATGATGCAATTTTGACTTGAACATAATTTTAATTTCCTTCAATAGGGTTTTTATTTTTCCTTAATAAATGGTAACTTGGTAACAATTTGATCAAAAATTCGCGATGCCCTCCAGGAACCTAAAAATATATAACAAATTATTGTTTATCAAAATATTGAATTAAAAACAAGTTAACATTTTTTTTTACTTACTGATGGTTTACAAAAAGCTTTTTGTCTAGTACAATTTTTACCATACACACAAGTGCCATCTTCAATAGGCGAGGTAGATGTTAAATGACAACCTGCTCCAATGATACAATCATTGCCTATTGATAAATTTCGACCAACAAAACCTTAACATTTTTAAAATATTGAGTTTTTATTTGAAAAAAAAAAAATATATAATATATACTCCATTCAAATTAAGAAGGAACATCAGCAACTGACTTTTGCACAGGGGCATACCTTTACTACATTACAGGAGTAGAGATGGTTAACTTGGTGGAGATGACAGATGGGTGTTAGTGTCATGACCACTGCCCGACAAAAACAGGCCACCACCGATGTTTCTTTTTAATGTAAATAGATTAAGTTAGATTATTTTCATACTTTTTGATTCAAATATGTTATTGTCTCCAATAGAGCTGACTCCCTCGATGGTTGAATATACTTCAAATACATTATTAGAACCAATTTTAAGTGTCACAGGCTCAGACTGTTCATCTCCAGGTAAAAATCTATTTAGAAATACTATTTGTTAAATCAATATTACATAAGAAACTATTAAATTATAATTGTGTATCATTGTATATTATACATTCGTTTATTTTATATTCATAAAATATAAAACATACAACAAATAAACAATAATAATTAAAGAATGACTGAGCAATATTAATACATTTAAGTATGATTCAAATGGTAAGAATAGGTTAATATGTCTAATCATATTTTATAATTTTAACATTAATAAGACCTGCCAACAATTGAGGTTTAACTATTTTTGAGATAAAAAGTTCAGTTATAAGATGAATATTAGTTTCTATAAACAAAATACCTTTACATTTTAGTGTTAGGGATAAAAGGGAAATCACCAAAGTACCTTATATAACAAGCTAAGTAAACGGCTAGAGAATTCAGTGGTTTGGACACTCAGCGAGAAGAGAGGAAACAAATGAAGTAAGGGCGTCAATCTCCAGAGGGGAAGTAATGCTCCAGAGGGGAAGTAATGCTCCAGAGGGGAAGTAATGCCCCAGAGGGGAAGTAATGCTCCAGAGGGGAAGTAATGATCCAGAGGGGAAGTAATGCTCCAGAGAGGAAGTAATGCTCCAGAGGGGAAGTAATGCTCCAGAGGGGAAGTAATGCCCCAGAGGGGAAGTAATGCCCCAGAGGAGAAGTAATGCTAACGCGGTCCTCCCTCTGGTTCTCGATACCACGAAAAAAAAAAAAAAAAAAAAAAGGGCGTCAATCGAATACAAACCAACAGGTAGAAGATCCAGAGGCAGACCTAATGGATGCATGGAGTGCGTCAAGATCTAGAGAGACTAAAAGTAACAGATTTGGAGGAAAGGATACATGAACGCGATTGTTAGAGGTCGGTGATAGTGGGGGCCAAAACTCTTGCTAAGTTGTGAAGGCACATAAGAAGAAAACTAAGTAGAAGTGTTAGGGGTATACTTATAAGTTTTAAATAGTTGGTCTTACAATAAATCAAACTTTTTTGATAAAAAGTTAAATACTATTGTGGACCGACCAAATATCAGCTTAATTTTTAAATTAGATTCATATTCATTAATGATACTCACTTGTGAATAATATTGACATATTCTTCAATAATATTATTTTCTCCTATTTCAATGGGTCCAGCTTCGGCTATTAAGGTTACACCAGGGTGAATTATTGTAGATGCGCCAAAACTTACTTGACCCTTAACTTTAATTTCTTTACAAACCATAGCTCCTTGACCAATTTTCACCCTAAAAAGGCAAATTATTACTTTGGGCACAGTTTAAATATGAAAGAAATTATCACTTCCTAAAGGAAATAATAATTTTACTTACTTTGATGACATTTTGAAACGAAATCAAGGAAACGAAACTATTATTTATAAAACTGTTGTAAGTTGTAACAATCTAATATAATATTTTCTTAGACAAAATGAATAAGTTAAACATTTTAAATATTTTAATACTTTAAAGATCATTTATTAGCACGATTAATAAAGATATAAATAATAAATATATCTTTAATCGTGATTACTACATATTTTATAGATAACAAAACAAAATAAATGTTTATCAAAAATTGATAACTGATAAAATTTAAATGATAATTTCGCACGTTTTTAGTTTTTTACATTATATTTAATAATAATATGTTGATATGTTGATTTTGCATTTAATATTTTAATTAGGTAGGTATTATTGGCAGAAATGTTATATACATTAAACTGCTATACAATAATACTTAATATTCAATACTTAATTCAACTATCTAAGTCAAAATCAATAAATTATAATATACTTCTATAATAATTCAATTTATCTAATATGATGTTTATTATAAAAAGTAATATGAACATTACATTATTTCATAGCAAACACCTGAAAAAATACAAACGAATTGGTTGTTACTGTTATTCTATAGACTTTAAACACGGTAAACTAATTTTACTTAATGCCGTTTTTATATTTTGGTTTGAAATATGATATAGTAAAAACTACCTGTATATTTTTATATTTTCAGGAGAAAATCAAATATTACCCAAGAAGTATGAACCTAAAATAGTTGAAAAGTCCAAAAATACTGTATTGCCCAATATTAAAAGCTTAAATCATAATACTGACAATCGAAAGACTTTTTCTATCATATTGCCACCACCAAACATCACTGGATCTTTGCATTTGGGCCATGCCCTTACAGCCACTATACAGGATATTATTGTCCGATGGTTTGTTATTTAAATTAAATTTTGTGTAATCTTTTTATCAACATTTTTTTTAATATTAGGTACAGAATGAGAGGTGTTGATGTAGTATGGGTACCAGGTACTGACCATGCTGGTATTGCTACCCAAGTAGTTGTAGAAAAAAAATTATTTGCTGAAAAAAATGTTAACAGACAAGATATTGGTAGGAAAGCTTTTAACCAAGAAGTGATAAAATGGAAAGAGAGCAAAATTTCAATCATTAGAAATCAATTGAAAAATCTTGGCGTAACATTAGATTGGAACAGAGAGACTTTCACAATGGATGAAGTAGTTATTACTTTTTATGTGGATCTTATTTGCTCGTCCCTTTTTTTTATCAAACAATACATTTTTTTTATCTATTTAAACTTTAAAATACATTTTCAGAAGCAAAACAGAGCTGTCAATGAAGCTATTATAAGATTATTTGATAGTAAACTCCTATACCGAAAATATTCATTAGTTAATTGGTGTTGTTCTTTACAATCTACAGTTTCTGATATTGAAATAGATCATAAAGAAATTTTGGGAAGAACTTATATTAGCTTACCAGGAAATAATAGACCTGCAGAGTTTGGTATTCTCACTGATATAGCTTACAAAATTCACAATTCTGGTTTGTATCTACATAATAAATATTATAAATTATTAGATTAAAAATACATCATTTACTGATCATTAGATCAAGAAATTATTGTATCAACAACTAGACCAGAGACTTTACTTGGAGACGTAGCAGTTGCTGTAAACCCTGATGATGTTAGGTATAAAGGACTTAATGGTGTTAAATTATGGCATCCTTTTAGGAAATGTACCATACCTTTAATTTATGATCATTCCGTTGACAAACATTTTGGAACAGGTATTTTTGTCTATAATGATATTTTGTGTATTTACTATTTAATATTTGGATTTTATAAATAATTTATTTTTTATTTAAGGGGCAGTTAAGTTGACTCCTGCTCATGATGTTTTTGATTTTGAATTAGCTGCCAAACATGATCTTCCCATAATCAATGTTATTGATGAATCTGGAAATATTAACTGCGAATACGATGAATTTAATGTAGATTATGATGAATAATAATTAATAAATCTAATATGTTAATATAGACATATAATTGTATGTTTTTAAATATTGCATTTTAGGGTCTACCAAGATATGAAGCTAGAACTGCTATAGTTCAAAAATTGAAAGAAATGAATTTATTAAGAGACTCAAAAGAACACAAGATGTCAATACCTATATGTAGCCGCACTGGTGATATAATAGAACATCTACCAAAACTCCAATGGTATTATAACTTTGATAATTTCATATAAATGTTTATTTTATTTTTACTTCTTATTTCTATTAACATCTAAAACTGTTCTCCTTTTAAGGTTTATAAATTGTAAAGAAATGGCCCAAAAAGCATCTGAATCATTAAGAAATGGTAAATTAACTATTGAACCTACTCATTATCATAATCAATGGTTCTTATGGCTTGATAATTCTAAGTATATAATCTAAATAAAATATCAATATTATGGATTTAGTAAGATTAAAATATTAAAATATATTTTTAGAGATTGGTGTGTATCTAGACAACTCTGGTGGGGCCATAGATTGCCATTATTTGAAACTAAATATGGTTGGATTTCTGCACATAATACAGATGAAGCTATTAAAAAAATTGGAGCTAAAATTAAATTATCAGAAAAAGAAATGGCCACTTTGGATATTAGACAAGAAGAAGATGTACTAGATACTTGGTTTTCCTCAGCATTGCTACCATTCTCTTCATTTGGCTGGCCTGATGAGGTTAAAAATTGATCATTGCTATTAAATGTTTAAATAAAAATTCTAATGCTAAATTATCTTAGACGGTAGATTTAAAGAAATATTACCCTTTGAGTGTTATGGAAACTGGACATGATATTCTAACATTTTGGATTGCTAGAATGGTGATGCTAGGAACATTTTTAACAGGATCACTTCCTTTTAAAGTAACATTTATTGAAATATATAATAATCATTTAAGAATTTTTATAGAATTTGTATATGTTTAGAATGTGGTTTTACATGGTATGATATGTGATAGCCATGGTAGAAAAATGTCCAAAAGTCTAGGAAACGTTGTAGATCCTGAAGATATCATTAATGGAATTTCATTAGAGGTAATTTCTAATATTATTATTTTATTCTTAACTCGTTTAATTGTATAAATTAGGATTTACAAAACAAAGTTAAAGCCAATGCTAAATCGGGTACAATATCATATGATGAATTAGAAAAGGCCTTGGTGAGGCAAAAAAAACTATTTCCAGATGGTATTAAAGAGAGTGGTACGGATGCCCTAAGACTAACTCTTGTTTCTCAAAACATTAAAAGTAAGTTGAAATAATTGATTTTGAGGCACAAAATATTATAAGAATTATTATTTTTGCAAACCATTGCAGATCAAGTAATTCACTTTGATGTGAACGAATGTTATCAAAATCGCATGTTTTGTAATAAAATATGGCAAGCTACAAGATTTGTACTAATGTGGGCAAAAGAAAAAAAAGTCCATGATTATATATCACCAACTCCCAGTAATATGATCCAATTTTGGATACTGAGTCGTTTGGGAGATTGTGTTCATAAAATTAATAACTCGTTCCAAAATTATGATATTTACATAGCCACAAATAAATTGAGAAAATTTTTTTACAATGAGTTCTGTGATGTTTTTTTGGTACTTATTATTTTAATATACATCATAAAATTATATTATGATTAATAACTTAATTTCTAATTTTTTTTAGGAAACATGTAAACCTATTTTTGATCATGGTACTGACGAAGAGATTCAAACAACTTGCAAAGTGCTATTATATGTTCTGGATACATCTCTCAGACTCATGAATCCACTTATGCCTTTTTTGTCAGAAACCCTTTATTGTGCCTTACCTGGAAAAAGTAATACACCAATAGCATATACTAAGTTTCCAGAACCAATTGAAGTACATTTATTATACTATATTGTGAACTATGTAACAGATAAGTATGAATTAATGAAGGATATTTTTTTTTTTAGTATACGCAATGGCTTAATGAACAGTTAGATGCTGATATGAGAACAGTGAAGGATATAGTTACAGCAATACGTAGAATTCGATCAATAAATAATTTTAGCAAAGATCAGTCTGAAAGTAACACAAATTAATATTAAATTTTTAATCTCAAATTCATACATAAATACATTTTTATTTTTAGTTATACTACATTCAAAATGTCATAAATTATTACATAAGTATGAAGATATTATTCAACATTTATCAGGATCAACTTTGTGTTTTGTTGAAGAAAATTCTAATTTAAAGTTGAATTCAATTTCTGATATAGTTGGTGATCATACTGAAATTCATCTTCTTTTAAAAGTATTATTTTAGCACTTACATAATATGTTTTGTTTATCTTGAATTAACTATATACAAAATAAAATAAAATATTTTTATGAAAATTATCACCTGCCCATAAATGTTGTAAAAATTAAAAAAAAAGTGTTGTTTTTTAGGGTGGAAGTTTAGAATACAAAAAATATTATAGTATATTAAATTCAAGACGTCAACGTTTACAAAAACAAGTAATGAAAATGGAAAAATCACTATCTTTAAGTAAAACATTTAAAAATAGTACAGAGAATTCGAGAGTGGCACGAGGAGATAAGGTATAAAATTATCACCAAGATTTGATACATTTATTTAATTAAATATTCCCATACCTAATACACTTTTTATAATTTTTAGATGCATTCGTTAATGGAAGAAATAAATAGAATCAGCATGTACATGAAAACTATCAAGGACAAAGAATTAGTAGCTGATTAAACAGTTTTAATAACGAACTACATAATGGAATTCAATAAGATAATGTATGGTCTCTATACAAAGAGTAGACAGAATAGATTTTAACTAAAATTATGCAGAGGTGGATGGCTGAACAATTGTTTTTTTTTTCTTAAGAATATCAAATAAAGTTACCTACCGGCAAAACCAAAAATCTTTGTACGAAATTGAAGTGAGCATTTGTTGGCACAGTGTGCCAGCACCTACCGAGCAACCAATAAAATTTGCTTAGAAATAAAATATTTAAATGGAAATAAACTGATATTACCTAAGTTTTGTCTATGCTATTGACTTTGTCCCAAAATGGATAACGTTGGTTTTTATTATAAAGTTGTTCTAAAATAGTAAAATCCCTAAAATATGGTATTTACAAACTTAACCATGGTTAAATACACATAAAAAAATATTAAAGGAAGAATCATTTATTATCTATGGTGTTACTAGGTGTAGGATATTGATATATTGTGATATTTAATTCGAAACCAATATATTATAATCATAGTTTGGGTTAGTCCTAAAAACACTGAAATATGAGCTTATAAATACCCCTAAAAACGTAAAAATAGTTAAAGCTCCAGGGTCCGGATTTTTCTCTCCTAACTATATTCTTAGTTATTATTTAGTATACCTACATGGGTACCTACATATGGTTTTTGTAGATTACAAGCAAGCATATTATGATAGCATAGAAGGAAACTATGGAAAATTCTTAAAGACTTTGGTTTATCAACTAAGGGCCGTTCTTATAATGTCCGGTTAAGTGTCGGTTAACTTTAACCGGACATCGTAAGAATGGCCCTAAATTAATCAACATGATAAAATTATGTAACACAAGTCACAAATACCAGCAGCCGAGTCAAGCTGAACGACGAGATATCATCTTCGTTTTTAATAAATAGTGGATTGAAGCAAGGGGTTGCGATGTCACCAGTGCTTTTCAATATGGCACTGGAGAGTGTAATAAAAAAGGTTCGGTGAACTGAGACATTAAACCTTGACGAAGGAAATGTCTTACTATAGCATATGCAGACGACCGCAACTTAGTGGTTATTGGGAATTCGAGAGAAGGAATTCAGAATACTGTTGAGTGTTTAAGAGCTTATAAAAATTGGAAAAGATATTGGCCTAACAATCAATAGTTTAAAAACTAAATACATTATAGTAAAGCGAGGAGGGGGTGACCATAATAACCTCCACGTGGAAAATAACACCTTTGAACAAGTACAAGAGTTCATGTATCTTGGGTCTACCCTAAATAACCAAAACAATATGCATGGAGAGATCAATATTAGATTGGGTGCTGCTAGTTATGCACTGAAAACCCTCTTTAAGTCTAAGTTGCTGTCAAGGAAGGCAAAAGTACATCTATACATCAGTTACATCCGCCCTATATTGACATATGCATGTGCCATATGGGCAACAACAAGAGGAGATAATGAAAAATTACGACTATTTGAGAAAAAAGTTCTTAGAAAAATGTATGGACCCGTATTCAACAATACAGAACAGAAATGGGAAATAAGAATGAATGCCCAACTGTACCACCTTTACAAAAGTGAAGATGTGGTCCCATTCATCAGATGGACAAGGATAGAATGGGCAGGCCATGCATTTGGAAGTATGTTGAAAAGAGCATTGAATTATATGACAAGAGGAAAGAGACCAAGGGGAAGACCACAGAAAAGATGGAAGGACAGCTTCAAGGAATTATTAGAAGAAATTGGAGTGGACTGGGAGCAGGCATATGATAGAGAACGTTGGAAGGAAGTAGTTTTGGTGGCCAAGAGTCTAAATGGCTCGTAAAAGCCTAAAAAAAAAAACTTTATTCACCTTAATATCATCAATTAATATACTTCGTAATATCATAGGCTGACTGACCGTTTCCGCTACTTGTAACCTACTGTACAGCAGGGTGACTTTTTTTTTTATTGAACCTAAGCCCAGCAACTATGGCCATTAGCTGTTTTGTTGTTTTGTATGGGGGGGGGGAGGTTGAAACAAGTTTTTAGGTTTGGCAGAATTTCAAGTTGGGCACCTGTAGGTTTCTGCCATGACTGGTCAGGGGATGGCAGCCTCACTGGCTCACTCTCTAGACAGATGCCTGCCCAGAGAAAGGAGCCGCCCGTGGTCAAGGTCCGAACCACTAGGCCACTACATTCCCTTAATCATTACATTTATTCATAATTAATTTTTAATTATACAATTAAAACAACATTTTAAATTTTAATATTTTAATCCAGTCTTTAGAATTTACATTACATTTAAAAACAAAAGTATACCTTTTTATTGATAAATTGTTAACCTAAAATTTGTTTGCCTTATCCATTATATTTTGACAATATTATGGTTAATTTTAATGCTTATACAATAATAATTATTATAATTTGTTTTCTTATAAAACATTATTAGTTAAGTGAATTTTTCTTGATTAATTTAAGAAATATGAGAATTTTCATCACGCATATTATTGCAATTAGACATTTCTGAATTTAAATATACACATTATACATATTGTATAAATATAACTTATAAAATATACAATTTATTTTCCTCTAAACTTATTTGGGCCACCTCTCTGTTGTTGTGGTCCAGTACCTCGGTTGTTACCACCACCGCCTCTCCCACTGAACCCTAAAACAGAAAGAACAATTTTACTAAAATTGAGTGAAGAATTAATACTAAATTAAATTATTTCTCAACAATAAATATTGCTAATTTGAATATATTTGGTTTAAAAATAATGTAATATTTAAATTACATACTTAATAATAATTTAATAACTAATAAGTAATAATGGTTAAAAATTCAAATAATAACATGTTTTCAAGTTTTCAACCAGAAATATTTAACATTTAATTGTAATATAAAGAGTATTAAAAATATATATAATATTATACCTTGTCTAGCTCCTCTAGGAGCACGATTTTTCTGGTTATCTGTTCGGCCACGAGCTTTATTTACAACTATATCTTCTTTCACCATATCAAATATTTCATCTGGTATTCTCAAGTATTTGATCATACTACCTCTAATATAACATTCCGGAAGTCTCCAAAATCTATCTCCATCCTAAAATAAAATACCTTATATTTCAATTGTGTAATACATGTTCTAGTTCTTCGTTCTGAAGAGTAGACATAGGCAAATTAAATACACATGATAATAGATCAATTATTCACTCTAATATTTAAGCTAACAACACTGCAGGACGAAAATTTTGATATATTATTATAGACATTATTATAAGACGGAGACAATTCTTGCAGGTAGGACGCCTTCTTAAGGCCAAATAATTTGATTAAACAAAAATGAACAGATATTTTTTATTAGGATCTAAAGTAATAAATGAAAAAACTAAAATATCCAGATTAACAAAAAGTTGCTAGTCATTTTGTACGATTTAAAATTTAAAAATACTATGGATATGTTCAAAATGGAAGATACTACAGATACTGTTAAATCCATTTCATTAACTACATTTCACATTTCACATAACCAGTATCAATATACAGGGGGAGTATAACAGTAATATTTTCAGAACAATACATACTTTGGAGGTGCAGATCACTTCTCGTAAATTGATATTCATCCAACTATCGCATGTCACTAAATGTCCGTTGTATGTTTCACCATTTTTTAATTCCACCAACTATAAGCAAATTTTTATTTTAAAGCATATTTTAAAACTAGTTCATATTTAGGCAAATATAACAACTGTCTAATTATTCATATATCATATTATTATGTGCGTTAGGTACAAAAGCAATTCAGAAAAAAAGTTATTTACCTATAAAAGTACAACTAACTTATAACATTCAAAATCATATCAAATATTAAAATAAATTGTAATCTTTAATTTTATTGAAACATATTTAGGATTTTTTTTAATCATTAATTATTAGGTAGGAACCTTTAACATTTTCTAATAGGTATACCTTTTGATATACTTGAATATAAAAAATAATATTTAGAAGTCAAACATTGATACTTTAAATTTAACATAATATGACTTAAATTTCAGTTTTAAAGATTTTATTTTATAATTCAACCTCAATAAGCTAATATAAAAACCTTACATAGTTTATTAGGAAACATTAGGGTCAGAAGTCAGAACATTAAATACTTTCCTAATATGTTTGTATTAATGTGTCAATATTATGAATGCAAGTGCTTACCATTGGGTGATTCTGAGCAGTTTTTAATAACGAAAGAGGTAACTGTAACAAAATATAATAAATATTAATTAAATTAAGGATATTATAATATAATATTATTAAATATTAAACAACTTGTAAATAATGACAAAATAAAAACGAAAAATTGTTACCATTTTATGTGGGTAGTGATTATACGTCCGACGTGAAAGTGTGAAACTTAATATTTTCAAGATCTGCTGGCGCCCAAATACTCAGTATAGGACCCTTAGAAACAAAATTAAAGAGGATTGAGGAATAACGATTTACGAATACGGAATCTGAACTCAAATTGAAATGCCGGATAAAATATAAAATGATAAAATCCAATGAACACTATCGATATCGATACTTTCCTTCGATACGATTTGGTATCGATACAATGTTTCTATAAATTACTTGTACCTAATCAAATCTAAAATCGTTTATCCAGTTCTCACAACTCACCTAGAGAAACTTTTAACAAAACTTAAGTTAACCTGACAAGTTATACAAATTATTATAATATTAATATTATAATATTTTTATAACTATTAATTTTTATGATTATTGATTTTAACACTGAAAATATATTTTGTACTTTTGAATGCAATATGACTTATGAGTAAATATCGATACTCTCTTTTGATATTTTTATTCGATTACATACCAAGTAAAAGTATTAATCAAGGTGGATATATCATATATATATCTGTATGCAGTGGCGTATTTACGGGGGGGGGGTCCCCGGGTCTGGACCCCCCCAGAAAAAAATATAATATAATATAATTATTACATCGTAACTCGTATGTGTTTTTTTTATATTATAAACTTGTAGGTACCTAATATTTAGACCCCCCCCAGAAAAAATTTCAAAATACGCCACTGTCTGTATGACTATATATCCACCTTGGTATCGATATAAGTTTTTCTGTATAGGTGGTCACTAGACACTAACACTGGATAAACGATTTTAGATTCGATACGAGTACGCCATATTTTCTTTTCTTTCAATCCAAATAAAGCATGACAAATTGTATCGATACCAAAAGGTAAAAAGGTAAAAACTAAAAAGTACTTGTATCGAAAGAAAGTATCGATACTATAAACATATCGATAGTATCGCAACATTACTAAGGCCTATTTAAGTAGTTAACACATGGTGATAAAAATATTAATATTTTTCAGACTAGTAAACAGTAGTTCATTGTTAATTTGCTTTTGTATTTTGATTTTTGTTGTTAGTTTGTTACTTGTTGACGCAGTGCACGGTTTACCTGACATATTATCTCAATATATCTATTTTCTCATGTGTTGTTAGTTGTTTAGTGGTTTGAACGTTCCTTATTTTATTTCATTTTATACTATAATTATTAATTGCCATTTAACGAATGTCAATACCATTTTGGAACTGCATAAACATTAAGACTTTATTATTTTGTTAGTCTTAGAGCAAAAATGGATATTCCCAACGAACTGCCTATTATTTATACAACAAAAGTTCTGATTCCCGGTTATATTTTGAAAATTCGATTACAAGTTGAAAACTAGTAAGAATACATGAAATCATACATTAATAAATAATCAATACCTATAGTCTTATTGTACTGCTTTTAAGATATTCTACAATTATTTATTTATGACTATTTTATAAGTTTTTTGCTTCAATATTTTTTTTGTTTTAATAATCAATTATTGTGTTATCACAGATTATATAAAATATAATATATTATGTATATTTTATGTAATCGGTGGAGTTATGGTTCCATAAGATAGAAAGAATACCAGAAGCGGACTTAATATATCCGATAATTGGGTCAAGGGCTGCCAAACATTTTATGACACATATTGTTAAAACATTTATTTTAAATACCAAACATTAAACCTTGACTATTAGTACGATAAGTTCATGATCAAACCATACAGTTTATAATATGACATATATAATATGTATGTACCATATTATTATTATTTTGTATTAAAAATGAATCAATGATCATCCATTATCCATGTTTTAATTAATCTATACCAAATGTAAGGCACTGTATCCGTAAGAAGAATTATAATTAAGAAAAACTTCTACGTCTGGATTAACCATTAGGCAATATCAGTGGCGGATATCGAGAGGGGGTTGTTTGTGGACCGCCCCCCTTGAGATTTTCACGACCACTTTATATTATTATATTGTTACAATATAAAATAATGAAAAGGGTTGAACGTCATTACCTCAGTGGATTTGAAATTTCCTTCCCCCTTCAGAACTAGGATATATCCATCACTGGGCAATATAGGAAATTACTTATGTCTTAGTCCTTAGAGCACAAACGGTTTCAATATATAACTGTTGCCTATAATCTCGAACAATTCATATGCATGTTTTCTCTTTTATTAGCTATAATAATGATTAAGTTTGAGGTAGACAACTGTAACCATTTAACAATAATGGTGTTAGCTGAGGACGTAATATTTATAGTCTTTAAGAATGCATCAGCAAATTATTCAGTTACAAATATTGTTAGGTAATTGTTATTTATAAAGAATTACAATTTCAAAGATGTAGTTACCCCAATTTGTGTTCAGTTTTCAGAATGTTCCTTTCAACTGCCTTAGGAAATTATCTGGTGAAAGGATTTTTTCAGCTCTCTAAAGGATAACTATTATTAACAATCTATCTTAAATTTTGTCTGAAATAATTTGAATGCCCTAGCTATATTAGATAAATATAGAAAATAATATTTCTCTAATTATTAATGTTTTCTGATGATTAAACAAGAAAAAAGATTTTTTTACATTAATTTTTGAAATAATTATTAATCATTACATTTTTGAAAAACAGTCACTAAACATAATGGTTTTAATGCTCCATCATACTTGATGATATTGTATAAGTACACCTTTTACTCTGACATTTGTTATCATTAATATTGGTAATTTGTATGTACCACAATATCCATATTATTTTTACATATTTTTAATGTTTGTTTCCAAGAAGTTAGTATAAACTAGCATGTAGTATGTCATATACAGCAATGCTGTGGTAGGTGAGCATTGACATACCTACATATCTAATATTTTTTTATATGCAAATGTGCTGCAAGTTTAAAAAAAAAAACAGGCATATGCTGGTCTGTAAACAGATTTGGACATGACTACACTAAGGGTACTAGGGCGCAGATAAAAACATAAAAGCATTACCTTTAGGAGCATTTCTCCTTAAGAGGATGTCAGCGCAATATTTATTTAGTCTCAGACTCTCGTTCAACATAGATAATGCTTTCACCTAAATTCATATTTTACGATCTTTGAGCAATCATAGAGTAGTATCAACTATTACAAAAATTATAGAACATAATATTTCTGATCGGTTTTATATTTTATTATTATTTCACTTTGTATTCGACTTTAAAATTAAAACCTTTTTTTTTGTACATTTAAATTTGGTGTTTAAATTGTTTTGAGACAATATTTAGACATATAAATTTGCCAAACCCTCGAAAATATTCTTCTCTATTTTGTAAGGGCGATTTTACTTTAAGATTAATCAAAAACATAAAAAAAATGATTTTGCATAAATGCAATAATAATAATAATAATATAATATTTTTTAAATAAATAAATAAATATGTGTAAAACCCCAAAGGGTAAGAGTACAGTATTGAAAGACTAAAATTATCGTTAATTTAACACATGAAGACAATAGTTGAAATAACTGAAAAAAAAATTAAACATAAATATTCATATTATAAATACAAGTTTTTAGCTTAGAGCAGAAATCGAAAAAAAAATTAGGAATCTTATTACAAGTTGTTGGTAGGGCCATCCCCACATAATAATATAAATTATATTGAAATTGTACTTTTTTTAAAAAATAATTGAAAGTTTAAATTAAAAATAGCCATTTAAATGTAGTGATTTAAAATACCGGGGACCAAACGTCCTATGGGTTGGTAAATAACATCACATAACTCCCTGGGGCCAAATGTTCTATCTTAATAATAAACGGGTACGAAACGTCCGTGGTCTCGCTTTTTCGACGGGGCCGAAACGTACTTTTACCACTTAAAGTATGCTTATTCCCTATAGTTAACAATCTATATTTAAGTATACTAGTATATAGTACTATAGTAAGGATGAAATATTAACGGATTCTAGGGCAGTTGTCTATCTGGAAAATAAATACCAGGGTGATGTATAACACCTGGCATGGGATCAAAAGATAATTTTGTGTTAGAAATCTGCCTGCTGAAGGCAACATACTTGTACTGATGTAAATATTAGTATAAACATTTTTTATTAACAAATTTAACTTAAAAATCACACTGTTATGAGATCATACCTAATAATACACAACTTACATAGTTGTTATTTTTATAAAATTTTCTTGAAGTTATAGCCATTTATTAAATAAACAGTAAAAATATTGAAATCTCATTTTGGATGTAGCACCTAGATTATAGTTAACCTTTAAATGAAATCCATACATTAAAAATTGTGTAGTGAATAGTGAAAATAATAAATCATTAAGTTTAAAACATAAGAATACATTTTAATAAACGCATTTAACTATACATTTTCAGCTCTAATTTATTGAATTATCTTCAAACAAATCGTGATTCAAAATCTATACATATTGGTATAATACCAGAATCAGATTCTGATAAGGTAGTAAATATTAAAAAATATAAATGACAGTTGGTGCTTAATCAATATTATTTACACATTTCAGGCTGAAGATATAATTGGAACAGTCGGTCAGGTTTTAAGTATAATTAAAATTGATTCTGTTCCTGAAGATTTCGTTTTGGTCACGGAAGGAATATGTCGTTTTAAATTGGATGAGACAATTTCTGATGAGCCATTACAAATTAATAAAATCGTTACAATTGAAAATTTTAAAATCCTCCAAGGTAATTAATACATAATTCAAATATATGATGTGATTCATTAATTAAATATATTATCATAATTTAGGTGATGAAAAGACAATACATGAACTCAACGCTGAGTTTAGTAAAGTGGTGAATGACTTTTTGTCATATTCTGGAGCAAACCTTTTTGGAAGAGATACCCTGAAGGCATGAACAAATATAATTTAAACTACCTATTGGTTTATTGCGTTACCTAATGGTTTTATTACTTTACAGATATTATTAAATAAAACTCCCTTGTATCAAACAGTAGATTTTTTACTGAAAACTTTTGTACATTTAACTCCAGCTGATGCCTATGAAATTCTTAGAGCTACAAGCTTAAACAGCCTATTGAGATTTGTTATAAATTGGTTAAAGCAAGAAACAATTAGTACGTTAAGTTTAATATTGAATATTTTTCAATTGCCATTTGAAGAATTTTATACCACCTATATTGTTTGTGTTATAGATGAACACAAATATTCAAAATCTGAAAAAACCGGTTTAATTCCAGTCCCTTCGACACTTCTTAATGGTAGTGGTGTGCATAGGGGTATTTTTCTCAAGAAACCAATTTCACAAGAATTAAATCAAATACAATTAGCCATTAAGTCAGTATGATATGTATAAATATTAAAAATAATTTATATATATTTATTTATTTTTTGCCATCATTTGTCTCACTTAGAGATTCTGGAATGCCAACATCAATACATAAAATGATTATGAAAGAATTTAAAAGACTTGGTGAAATGGCTACTAGCAATCCTGATTATACTGTATCTATAAATTATATCAGTTATGTTGCTAATTTACCATGGAACAAACGTACAATTGAAACTTTAGATCTGAACAAAGCTAAAAATGTAAATATTTATTAAAATATTAGTTTTAAATTAAAACTAATTATTTTATATGCTTGTAGGTATTGAAATCAAACCATTATGGCATGGAAAAAGTGAAAAATAGAATACTGCAATTCATTGCTGTAAAGATATTGAACCCAGATCGACGAGGACCTATACTTTGTTTTATTGGGCCACCCGGTGTTGGCAAGACAACTATCGCTAAAGCTATTGCTAGTTCATTAAATCGAATTTTTAAAAGGTTTAATTAACTAACTAACTTGTATTTAAATATTTATACACACAACAATTGTATTATAATCAATAACCAAATTAATTAATTTTATTTTAGAATATCATTAGGTGGTATAAACAGCTATTCAGATATTAAAGGACACAGAAGAACATATGTCGGAGCTATGCCTGGTTGTATAATTCAAGCAGTTCATCAAGCAAAAACCAACAATCCTATTATTTTATTGGATGAAATTGATAAGATGGTAAAAAATAAAAATAATATTGCTATAAATTAATAATTATTATCCAACATATTATTTTGATGTGTTTACATTTCTTGTTTATTATTAGTATAAAGGTTCAAGTGGTGATCCCGCTGCAGCATTATTAGAAGTTTTAGATCCTGAACAAAATAACTCATTTGTTGATTCATATATTAACTTGCCCTTTGATGTCAGTCAAGTGATGTTTATTTCAACAGCCAATAGTGCTGCTGATATACCACGAACTCTGCGTGATCGAATGGAAATAATATATTTGGAAGGATACACACAAGTATATCATGTTAACAAACAGAAATAGTTTATATTTATTAATAATTATTGAATATTTTACTAAATTTCATAGGAAGAAAAAATGCAAATTGCAGAAATGTATTTGATTCCCAAGATACTTAAAGATCATAATATGAATGAACTACAGATATTTATTTGCAAAAATACTATAAAAGATATAAGTATGTATTCTTATTTATTATTATCTACAGTATTATGTAATAGTATAAGTATTTGACTTTGATTAGTTCAAAAGTATACTAAAGAATCTGGTGTACGAGAATTGCAGCGTAAACTTGAAGTTATTTGTCATTATATTGCTGTAGACATAGTTGAGAATGGTGATAAAATAATAAAAAACTATGTGATCACGCCCGAATTATTATTGAATATTCTTGATGTAAGTACTATAAAGAAATTATGTTTTTATGAAATTTGTAACTTAAAATTTAATTTTTCAGAGTGAATTATATAATGTGAAAAATGCACTGGTAGAAGAAAGTTGTAATAGAATAGGTGTTGCCATAGGAATGGCATGGTCCCCAGTCGGTGGGAAAGTTCAAATAATTGAAGCAACTAAATTGTACTCGAGTAAGGAGAAAAATCAGCTAGTCCTGACTGGTTTAGCTGGCCGGACTCTAAAAGAATCAGTTTTAATAGCACAGCATTGGATACAATCGTTTGTAAAAAAAGTAAATTACTATATATTTTTTAGTTGAAATATTATAAAAATCACCATCCTACTATCTTAAAGTATTCTTTATTATTTAGAATGAAGTGAACATAGACAATTTCTGTGTTCATGTTCATTTACCTACAGGGGGAATTCCAAAAGATGGACCTTCTGCTGGCATTACAATTGTTTGTGCATTAATCTCTCTTTTCTGGAAAATACCTTTGAGGCCAATGATTGCCATGACAGGAGAAATATCATTGAATGGATATGTATTGCCTGTATGTAATGAATTCAATAATGTTTTTAATTAGTAGTTTTTTATATTATATATTTTTTGCTTTAAAAGGTGGGTGGCGTGAAAGAAAAAATTTTAGCGGCCTACAACTCAAATATTAGAACGGTCATCATACCTGACCATAACATGAAAGATTTAAAAACAATACCTAACAATATCAGAGTAAGTATACTTAAAATTAAAAAAAATGTGTGGTGTATTTTTAAAATAACCATAATACAGATTTATCATTGATTTCAAACTTAATACCTCAACACACAGACTTCTGTACTATATAGAAATCTGGGCTATAACATAAATTAAACATAACCACGCCAGTATCAGGCAGTTCGAATGAGCATTGTTTTTAGTTTTACAAAAATGTATTCCTTTATTGTTTTTCTTATATCATGAAAAGATGATTATCCGATTATCTTAACATTGGTTGATTGTAATTGGGAATTAGTGGTTAATACTTTCTACCAGAATTTTTGACTCAGAACTTTTTGGTGTCAAAATAAGATAATAAAGTACTTTTTGAAAAAAATGGGAATAAATACGTAATATTAATTTTGCATTTTTTTTAAATATTATTTGGCAAATAAATGAACTTAAAATTTTTTCAAAAATTATATAAGCAATTACAAAAATTAAACCTTGTAATAGACGTATTATTTTCAAAATATTTAATTGTATTTAAGCTTTTGACAAGTTAAAATTTTTTTTCTTAAAGCTCGATAATTTAATATGGGGTTTCTTCTAAATAATTCTTCATCAATGCAGAAGTGTGGAAATCGTCTTTTTGAGTTTGAATTGTTCATATTCTTTGCTCAGAATTGTTATTTTGTATACAAAGATTATTGTTTTTCTTATTAAGATCATACTTATGATCTATGATATTGCTCTTCATTTAAAAACATTGAATTTGTTTTAGGAGGATTTAAATATTATCCCAGTGAAACATTTAGAGGAAGTTTTGGATATTGTTATTCCTGGAGGATTGGCAATACTGAAAAATCCATCATTTACAACAATGGAAATATGTAAACTTTAGTCCAAGAGTTATTTAACTATTGTTCATTATTTTTATTATATTAATCAATACTTTGTGGCATAAGTTGTGTCCAATTTTAGGGTTTGAAAAATATCTCAGGTCTGCGGAGGGCTTTATCTGCCCCATCCCACGGCTCAATTACTTTTACCGCCTAAAACCCCGCTATATTTTAGGGGTCGCAAGTGTTTGCACTTGCACACAGTTTATGCCACAGATGTATTAAATAAGAAAAATGTTTTAGTTTTAATAAATTTCTTAATTAAAACAATTGAATGGACAATTATAATAAATCATCAGGTAGTTAATACCGATGTTTAATAAATAAAACATTTTACTTTTTGGAATTTTAACTAGTATTATATTATATTAATATTATTAACCTTTTATCCTCTACAATGCGTTAGTGGTGCAGCAACAGTCAATAGTCATACTCATACTTTAAAGTATCAAGTGTATCATCAAAATGTGCACTGATAAATATATTACTGGATTGAATATTAACCACTGATTATTAGGATATTCCCCAGGGAAAAATTGGGGAGAGATTTCGTCCAGGGAAAATGCAAATAACATATATTAATTTACTTAATTTCTATTAGTTATGACTCAATTCAATCATACAAAGTTCAATAAAAAATCATTAACATTATATAAAAGGCAACACTATCTTCTATTTACTACAAAATACGTAGAATAGTAGAACAAATTTTAGAAATATCTTAAAGATAAACCATGTTTATTTTGGAAAATATAAAAAGTGCAGATTATTATGGAAAAAAAAACAAAATATTATAAAGTATTTTCTTTACTTTCCCAAAGTTCATGACAGAAACAACATCAAACTAAAAATATTTTAAAAATAAAATACATAGTTAATAATTATATCAAAATTTATCTTGTAAATGACTCAAAGGTGGCTGCTTGACATTCAACAAGCAAACCGAATTCTTGCCTTCAGTACCACAGCCAGTAAATAGCACAGCACAAAGTGCAAATGAAGACATTGCTGCCCAATACTTTTCGCACCACCGATTTACTAGGTCTAAATTATTTTTATTTTTTAGTTGCATGTGTGCCATGCAAAACCGATTAGTTGTGTCTTCCATTGATTTACACACAGATTCTAAAACAACTTTGTTGGTTGAATGCTCTTCAATATTTAACTTGGATGTTGACCATATATTATCATATGGTGCCATTAGGTTTTTTTTCAGATGAACTTTACCTGTGAAATATTAAAATTTGTGTTAATACAGGTTAATAGGTTTTTTTTTTTAAATCTAACTATCATTATACTATAATGTGAATTATTGATAATTTGTAACAAAGTTTAATTAGAAAAATATAATAGATAAATAAAAATAACAGAAATATATTTATTTTGTACAGTATAAGAGTTAAATGTGGTAAACTCAATAGTCAATAGACCAGACAAACTCAGACCAAATAATGTTTGTAATACTGGAGATTATTTAAGTATACAAATGTTAACACATTTTGTTCCACCTTTAAACTAGTAAATCTGATGCAAATTACGAACAAATCATTTTTAGACAATATAAATTCACAGAAAGATGTAAAAACGCAGTAGGTTAATAATTTGATCAAATTATTTATTAGTAAAATAATCAGAGATTGCTTTTTGTATAATATTTTCACAATATTTGAATAATATACATGGTATTCTGTGCAGTGTACCTACAGTCCTACTCACTAGTCCGTGATCCTACTCAAGGGACATTATTACATATATGCCACAAAAAAAAAAGCAGCACCTGACCAATAATAAAATGAGGGGACACCAATATTCATTAAATAATGATTAGAAAGTTTCTGTAATGAATATTACTAGTTAGTAGATTATAGATAAACGCTATATCAAAAAATAATCATCTGAATTCTAAGGTGTAAATATAAAAAAAAAAAAAGAACTTAATGATTCATAATTATGAGTATATAAGAGTTCGGAAGAGACGTCAGGTAACAAAGAAACCATTGTTGAACTTTTTTAATTATATAAATAATGATTTTTATGATGAAGATTTCAAACTATGGTTCTTTACTTTATGATGGGTCGGACTAAAGAGTAGTTAAGTATAATTTAAGACTGTTTGTAAATTATTCATTTGTTGAGTGCACTCAACTTACAGGAGGTGGTGACAGGATAGGATGATGGTAGAGCGTCAAATGATCAACAATATTGGTGGTTCGATGTAATGTTTATTATAAATTGTAGAAAAATAAAGGACAAGTTGAATTTAAATACTGTTAGATTATTCAAAGTAGTGAAGGATACTAGTGCCTTAGGAAATAAACAATTGCTCAAATATTCTCTAAGACCGAAATACGCCGTTAATGTAAATAATCTAAGTCAAAATGAGAAAAATGGTGACTACCAAGAACGAAGAGGTACAGGGATGCGTACGTACGGTGGCTCACGTCTGTCTGATGGGCTGCTCCCAGGGCTCCTATATAGTCTTATTTCCTCTCTTTACCAGATCCTTGGCGGACTGTGTCGTTGGTTCTCACAGTCCAGGGGCCTTCCATAATAAATTAGATGGTTGACTATTTCGTAGTGCGAACACTGACCTATGACTCAGGGCTGCAGATGTGCCTCAGGTCGATGCGGGGTATCATTCTAACAGGCGAGTATACCCACGGCCTGTCTTGGCATAGTGCCAAAATCTAATTCATAGAATCTACTACTCGCCGAGGAGTTCTCACAGATAGCTTACCGGCTTGGGTTTCGTCATCCGGATACTGTGTATTGTAACTATGTGTAGGGGCGGAGTAGGGGGGTTTGTAAGTAGCACATTATTGGAATAATTCAAATTAAAACTATTAAATAGAAATATAAAAAAAAAATTACAAGTGTAACACCAGTTAGTAAAAAATGTTGAATTAGGTTTTTAAACTAGTAAAATTTTAAAAATTTTAAATCAATAAAATATTATATTGTTATTATTTGTTATGATATTTATCAGCCTCATTAAAATGATAATATTATAATACCTTTGGCTGAACTTTCTGAAACACTCTGCAATAACGCTAAGAACTTTTTAAATGTTTCTATATGCTTGACGTTTATTTTTATCTTTTTATTAACAAATTCAGCTAATCTCTTCTGACCAACTAAATATGCATCTCCGTAAGTTAGCGCTATAAATTAAATAAAATAACATTAAAAGTTGAAAATTAATTTGAATAATGAAACATACATTTGCATAATTTTAGTTGTACGAGTAACATAGTAGCACGACTGTCTTCAATAGAATCATGTCCAAGATTACCACATTGAATATTCATATCCAAAAAATTTTTGGCCAAAAGTTTTAATTTACTTTTAGACCCTTTATTTCCATTCAAATTGAAAATAACACTAGTGTCTATAATGTATGGATGGAATAACTACAAAATATATATTATCAAAAACTGTTCTTTTAGGTGAAACACAATTTAAGCCCAAGATATTTTTTTATACCTTTAATGCATCCAAGTCACAATTTAATGATTGTCCAATCAAAATTGAATCTGGAGATAATATTTTTATTATATCTTCTTGTACATCTGTTAAAGTGGTTTTGACATTCTTAAGTTTTGAAGCTGTGATTCCAGAATATATAGTTAAATAATTAGTAATTTTATTGGTGGGTTTCACCAAAGACTCATATATGACCTAAACATTAAACATAATACACATAAAAAAAAATTAAAATATAAAGACCTAAAGGCAGGTAGGTATGGTATTTTTGATATCTATTTTAGGGTTCAAACAGTGAACATTAATAAAACTTATACAAAATATTTGTAAAGTTACTATCTATACATATTTTTTTTATAATTATTATATTAAATAGGTAATTGATAATAAATAAACAAACAAACTAACATTCCCACGAAGGTGTGTATAGTTGAAATGTCATCCACTCTCAGTGATATACACATAAGTTGAGAGGAGAGGTTATGTCTTCTCCCATTGTCCCATAAATTCCCTTATTTGTGTTTTTGGTATTAGCACAAAAATAAATTTAAATGTTAGGTCTGGGATTTTATAGCATTTTCATATTTTTTATAAAGATAGCTTAAAATTTGTTTCATAATTAAGAGAATGAAATTAAAAATTTTACTTTGCATATTTTTGCATTTGACTTATTTCTTAATCAAAATTGGTAATGTTATGAAATAATATTTTAATTTTTAAAAATAAAATACATAGCATAGTAAACAAGACCAACTACACGGACACGCGCATAAGCATCATTCCGTTAACTGTACTTTGGGCTAGTCCCGTAATGTAAAATAAATAAATAAATAAATACATTTTGTAATAGGTATTTATTTTTAATTTTAAACTTTTGTTATCTGCTGATTTTGATGTGCTCCTTTATTGTTGTTTACTAGTTTGATTATCATCAAACGAGTTTTGAAACCGTTAGGTATAAGCTATATTAATACAGCTGACTAGTATACTTGTACTTACTATACTAGTTGTGTTTTTGGTTGAAAGTATTCTGATTTTTCTTTGTTTTAAAATACCAGTTTGTGCATTTTTGTCATGTTTATTGAATACTTTTAGCACTTATTTAGCGATAATTAAGATAATATTATAGAGCATATATTTGCTTTTTCAAGTGCTATAAAATCCCAACCCTGATTATTATTAGAACATCCCTCCTCCGTGAAATTTCCTAGTCTGTACACTGTCCCCTCTATGGGTCATATTTATTAATAACAACTTACCTCTAATTGTTCATTAACAATGGAAACTCTAGTAAGTTCATTTCTACCAATAGATGTATAACACATTTCACAATCAATTGCATACATGGGACTGTTATCAGTAACAGGCAAGTAATGATTTTTTGTAAAACGGAAGCCATCCATTGTAAATTGACGTTTATTGGTAGGTAAAGGATAATTGTGAATCATCATTTGGTTTAAAGACATCAGCAAACGTGTTCGTGAGCAAATTTCTTTGTTCTCAACATTTTTTTTTTGTGTTGGTGTAGATTCTGAGACTACATCATCAGTTATTGAAGTTGTGTTGTCGGTTTCTATTAAAATATAATTATTTTATTATTTTTTACACTATTTTGTAACGGACAATTTTATTTAGGTTGCCAATAATCCATTTACATAACTACTTAGTACACAAAATAGTATTTACCATTATCAGCACACCAACTTGGGGGTAGCTCAACTTCAATAGGTGGTAAAAATTTATACTTTGAAAACATTGGCAAAGAACTTTTAAAATGAGAAAAATCTTCTTTAGTATTTACTTCACATCCATCAATTATTAAAACACAAGTTTGATTTAAGTTGCACTGCATTTCTAAGTTCGACCATCTAAAACGATATTTTTTTCAAAATCATTTAAGTATTTTCAATAACCTACCAACTTACTTTGGAACATATTTTCCTGGACCATAAACAGAATATAAAATTAACTCATTTAGGTCAGATGGTAATAATGGACTTTCACTGAAACCACTATCATTTAACTGTGACAATTGCCCACGGGCATTCAGTAATATTCGTGGGAAAGTCTGAAAAAATAAGTTTATTAAATATAATAATGCATTCATTTTGTTTAAGTTAACGGTGAAAATGTATTATAACAATACTAGTGTATTCATTTGTAATATGTCTTTAAAGTTTAAACTGAGTCAGTTACAATAACTAAATAAATATATGTTTCAAAATACACTTTTGATGATTATTGCCATTGAAACATTAACATAAAAAAAGATCAACCATCAAAACTATTCGCAAATTACTATTATAAAACAATAGATATAATTGATTCACAAAGATGTGTGATATGAATTTTTAATAAATATAAACATAGAGAGTACAATTGGACTTTTCAATGTACAATATATTATTTTTTTTTTTTTATTGATCCTTAAGCCCGGCTTCTATGGCCATTAGCTGTTTGTAGGGTTGTATTGTGGTGGTGGTAGGGTTTTTACACATGTGTATTGTGTTTGGCAGAGTTTTTGATTGGGCACCCGTAGGTATCTGCCATGCCCGGGTGGGGGATGGCGGCACTTGTTCTCCGGACACCGTGACGTGCCCAGAGAAAAATGCCGACCGGCAGCGTCAGACCGCTCGGCCACCTCGTCCTACAATCTTAATTATATTGTAATTATAGATGATTAGGGAGATATTATTGTATAATGTTTTACAGCAGTAGATACATTTTAGATGCAGTTTCTATTATTGGTTATCATTACCGCATATGACTTTCAATATTGCAATTGTTATTTTATGTGAACTAGCGATACCTTTAAGTTTGGTCATTCAAACAAAAGATTTAACTTTATCTGTTATCAATTTATAATAAAACTCATTATATAGGTGTTTTGCTTATTTATTCCTGCTAGTACGAATAATTAATGTTGATTAAAATAATACACTAGTAGACAAAAATAATCATACATTACAGTAGAAATTGATACTGTTAAATACATTTATATAACAAAGGTAGGTAGATACGTGTTTACTGTTTAATTATTAACTTAGCCCACTGAGAGTTAATTGTATAGAAATAATCAATATATAAAAATACAATGCAAATTACCTGTACAGAACTTTATAAATTTGCCATTATTTTAAAGTAATTTGTCAAAAATAAAAACAAATCCATGAAAATATACATTCTAATTGTTACAGAAATGAATATAGGACCAACACTTGCAATATATTCATAAGTCCAAGGACCTACTATAATGAATTTCCTGAGGAAAATTGTTTTACATCATTTAATTACTAAATTTACAGTAATGTAGATTAATAATTTATTTTGACATATATAACTCTATTATGTATAGTATGCATTAGTGCATTACTAAAAACAATCATATAATAATAATTATTGTATACAATAATACATTTCTAAATAATTGTTTTAATTGTTTAGTATAATGGTTGCTAGTTATTATTATTTATGAAATTTATAGATGTAAAAACTCGTTTATTTTGTAGTACTTACTCTCAAAAGTTTTTTTTTCTCTTTTAAATACAGTTTTAATTTTGAGTACTCGTCTTCTGTAAGTGTTTTCGCACCGTTGGCGGACGGAGGTTGCTCGCAAGTACGTTTGTACTTGACGACTGGTTGAGCGCTCGACGACAAAGGCGACATTAACTTTCGCTTGCCCATGTTAATTGCAACGAAGTGTGAACGCAGAAATATAAAAATCACATCCGCTGAGCAGCAGTGACCAGTGGGCAGTGATCTGTATTCTGTAATCACCAAAGGGCGAAGACCACGTGCTGAACAAAGTATAATCTGCGTTCTGCACTTCTGTGGTATAATTGAACGGGTATAGTAATTAAACAATTAATAATAGTCGTGACCGTAAAATCCTTATATCCAAAGGCCGAGAGACCGCGGTCGCTATCCGGCGCACGCAAGTCGTGACTGGATTGCACACCAAAATCAAATTACTCGCGAGTCGCGAAGTCGTGAGCTCGTGACGTAAATAGTAAATACCACGGACTAAGATATAATGGACTGGAAACGACATGGTCGGCGGGGATCGGGGGACGGCCACGAAAATATGTCACTTAGCTGATAAGAATACTGTTCTTGAAGTTTTCAGCGCTACCGGTGGTTTTATTTGGCTACACAATTTATATCTTAGTCCGTGTTAAATACAGAGGGCGCTGTGAACTCCAAGAACAGATAGCGACCCCCCGCACTTTGCCTCTTGTACATACATTCGTGGCCATGATAAGCTGCTCGTTTCCAGTCCATTATATCTTAGTCCGTGGTAATACTAAATATTGTTGTTGTCAACGGATAATGCGCGATAACTGATAACGACCTCGTGAGGGCTGTGATAAGAAACACAACGTTAGTAGCGCAGTATGGCCACCGGCAAGATTGTAAAAAGTCTTTCTCGGCAAGACAGCTGCAACTTCAGCAGCTGTTTTCAGTGTTTTGTTTGACGACAAATCGTTATTGTATCAGTAATATCATTGTTGTTTTCCTTTTCTACTTTCTACTTTTCAGTTTTCTAGTTTTCAGTTATCCATTATCTAAAGTTCCAGTCGTATTCCACTTCTGTCCGTTCCAGGCTACTAGCCTGCTTGGCCAGCTCGACGCTTGCTTTCTCACAGTCTTACGACTCACGAGTGTCACCCCGTCAAAATCTAACCCTCTCACGACGGCCGCCGTCTCCTCACCCACTCGTTGGCCGAACGCAGCAGTGCAGCACCCACAGCGCGGCCGCTGGCTATCGAAGTATCGAACCGTTCCACTCGTCCCGTCGACGGCTCGCTCTCGCGGTGCTCGTAGAAAAGTGTACCGTGCTATTATTACTGCGACTCTGAATTCGCCAGTTTACACACCAGTACACCACTCGCGTTCTAGCTCGTCGTGCCGCGTCACAAGACCCAAAATTCTCCTCCTCCGACACCCTCGACATGCGACCTTTGACGTTGCCGTTCAACCGGTCCGCAGACGCCTGACGTAGAAATCCAAGTTCCAACTTGTCGCCAAGGCAGGCCACCGCAGACGGACACGCGCCCTCGACTTGTCCGGGCGGCGTTGGCTACAACAACTGCGCTCCCTCATCCCTGAACGACCGGCGATACCCCGTCGAACGACTAGTGAGTTTGGAAACGGTTTTCGGCGTACCGATTACGGGAAACCACCCTAGTACCCCATCAGCGCATGTGGCCTCCAAGCCCTGATTAAGAGGAGTCCAGGAGGTGAAAAGTCCCGGGGCCCATTTTTATCCCCAAAATATTTAATATTTTTAATGCATTCAGAACAGTTTTCAAAAAAGTGAAATAAATAATTTTTACTGGGTAGTTGTTGTAAAATAAAAATATTCTTAATTTTAAATCTCGAAAAATTACAAATTATAATAAATATTAAAAAATATTGTATGATGAAGTTTATAAAGTGGGAGTTGTGAACTACATGTCTACATCGTACGCACGGATGATAGTGTTTATTATCTATGATTGACTTGACGGTTTGTACGTGGTAATGTACCTAGTACAAAATTATACAATTTTATACATTCGTAAAAATGTAAGGGTACAATTTTTTGAAGTTAAATTGGAAAGGGGGCCCAATAAATTCTTAATCGGGGCTTGCGTGGAGTGTGGACCCGGGACCGTGACGTCTTGTCGTTATTATTACTATTATTATTATTATTATTATTATTATCAGGTTTAGAGTGTGTTTGCGAGTGCGTGCGCGCCTAACGCTGCCGAACACAATAGCAAATTGGCGGAATTTCTAGACCAACGTCTCCGATATGCACCACCTACCTTAGTTTGTTGTTATTATTCTTATTTTCCCTCGTCAAATAGTTCTCGTAACGTTTCTACATTACCCGTTCGATTTGCCACACGTTTTTCACACGGGTTTCTTTTATTTTTACTTCAAATTCTGTACAGAGTGTTTTACTGCGTGTTGTTATCAACGAGGTCGCTAACCGCGGCTGCTATAAGTGAAATGCACTCGGCACGTCCGTTCGTAGTCGTATTTACCGAGTGATTGTAGATAGTGCACGCAGCACGCATTTCCGATTGATCACTGCAAAATTGCAATGTGCATTGCTCTACATTGCAAATCGTGACTCGTGACGTTTCTTCGTGTGACAGCATCGGTAGGTGTTTTTGTTGAATTTACGGTTGCAGGACGATTGATCGTTGTTATTATTAACGACTTCGACGTCCGTCCGACGGTGCTACAGCATAATTATGTCCTTAACACTCGGCTCGCGGACTACCTGCTGCTTTTATGAATTGTTTATTTATTCGTGTTTGAGTAGAAGTCTTTTTCAGTTGTTTTGATTTCAGCATAACCATTTTGTGTACCTACTACCTAGTTCAAATTCAATTCGCTTACCGTTATTCCACAACTTAAAAACATTTTTTATTTTTGACCGAAGATGTTAGTTTGTATATTTTTTGATTATCTAATCGGCTTTAACATAACTAAAATAAAACAATCTATATATCTTATAACCTAGGTATATAAAGCAATAAAATTTAAATTATATATTTTATCAGCTATACAATTCTTGTATATTAGGTATTCAAAAATACATCAAAAGTTAAATTTTAATAAATAATAATTTATACCTAATACATATTAAGATGTATATTTAATTTAAAAGGATTTTTTCTCCAAATTTGATTTTATTGCCTCTTTATTATTGCAATCTATCTATTGGCATAAATAAAAATTATAAGTCAATTAAGTTTATGAATACCAAAATAAAACAGTTCAATGTTAGAATACCTAATGTAAAAACTTTTATGACAGACAGACAGATAGGTTGTACCGTTGTTGCAGGAACGTTAGTAAAATATGTGACATTAAGAAAGAAAAAAACAGTTATAAATTATACAATAGAACAAGTGTCTTAGCAATCCATGCTGCATTCATGTGGACTATATATACTGTAATAAAATCATTTATTTAATACTTTTAGTAATATTTTTAGACACATAATGAGAAACCGGAGCAGATTTACTAGTCAATCTGATCAATCAGACGATCAAATTTTTACACCGGTGATACCACAAGGTACAATATTCCTCATTGATTATTGTTATCAATCCTTTTATATAGAATATAACTACCTGTATAATTATATTATTGATATGTCTCAGTTAAGTCAAATTTCATCTATGCAACATACACGTGGAAGTAGTGATACGAAATGGAGGAGATAAGTCAAACAACATTGGTAAAAATATTGTATAATCTAATATATAAAAACCTATTTAATAATATTATTTTTTTTTATCAATACAGAAGGAACTAGAAGAAGTACCAGGAAACGAAAGTTAAAATATGAAAATTATAGTGACACTTGGATTGTTGGTTCTCAAGCACTTAAAGGTTATCCAAATATGGTAAATGAAGACGGAGATGGTAAACTTTATTTTATTTTCATAATTTTTTTACCCACAATACTCGAGTATAAACCTAATAAATATAATATATATTTAGTTGACCGTAGAATTACCAGAAATTTTAGATTGAAACAAGTGGTAGATGATGATGAAGATGATGATGAAGAAGACGATGAAGCTAATGCTGAGGCTGATGCTGATGCTGATGACCAAGAAAATGAAGAAGAAGAAACCAATCATAACTCAACAATAAGTATTAAACAAGAAAGTAAACATGTGTCTGTTACAACTGAAAATAATGATAGTCGTCCAAGAACAAGAAGAGCTGTAGCTGAAGCTAGTGACAAATCCAATGACCAAACGGTCGATAACGAAGATTTGTATACACGTATAAAACGCACACGAAATAAAAATCAACCTAAACCTAATAGTTAGTATAATTTGTACTATAAAATTATTGAAAGATAATAATGTATTCTGTTTAAATCAATTTTATAGCTGCTACAGAACAAAGTAGCGATGAATCTATGAGCTCTGAAGAGTTAAATAATTTGAAATTTGAAGATTATTTAACATCTATGAATAAGTTGAATAGCAAAAAAAAAAGGAGGACTATAAGAATAAAACAATGCAGCATCAGGCAATCCAATCGACCAAGATATTATAGATACAGTTTGCGTAAAGTTAAACCTACTGTCCAAAGATTTCAAATACATGCAGAAAAAAATACAAGTAAGTTTGATAGGTACCTATTAGATTTTGTTTTGATAATGAGTAATTAAGAATAAGAATACACCAGGTGGCATACAAAAATACAAGTTTGCGCGTGTATCCCTGCTATGGGCAGCTAGGACTGCTGCTTACACCACCTGCCCCATCGTTTTTACATGCGTATACCGGTGTACTCTGATTCTGAGTAGAGTAGATTTTCTAGTATTCACTTGATTCATTGGTTGCCTTTTTGCCGCTTAATACTAATTTTCGAGGTAATTTTAGACAAATATGCATAGAACTTGTTGATTACACAACTGTATATGTTTTGCCACTGAGTATATTATAATAAACTAATAATTATGATATATGTGTTACTTTTCTAAATTACCTTTGAAAATTAAACTTAAGTTCCTCATAAATTATTCTTACCACAAATAACAAATAAAAAATTTTGAAGATACAGTCACTAATTTTTTATAAATGTCAAGTCTTAAATTTTTAGGTTGGTAGGTAAAAAAAATATTCTTATGACTGAAACTCTTTACCACTATGTAGGTACAT